TGGAGCGAAGTGATAAAGACCTGCAAAACTCCTCCGGGCTGTGACCCAGGTCCTGGAAGCTCCACAGATCACGAACAAAAAATTATACAAACGAACATTTCGTTTGTATAATTTTCTCTTCACGTGATTTGACATTTGTTTTTATTTTCGAGTAGTGAATTAAAATTTAGTAAGTTAAATTATATAAATAACTTAAAACGCTCTCACATATATTTGGTCACAAACACCTCGTGAATTCAGCTTTTTTTTTTATTATTCTTTTTTTCCACCAGTTAATAATTCCTTACGAATCGCGCTTTCAATAAATAATATAACAATAATTTACTTTTTGTTCGAGAAGCTCAAACGGCCTGCCCTTCAACATAAAAAGTATTTTACAACACCAACAATTCGCACATGTTCATGCTCTGACCTTAAGACAAATAAGAGCCAACGGGACTCCACAACAAAAGTATCAAAAATTGAAGAGTTGAGACACAGTATAATCACAGTGAGACTGTTGAATGTCCTCGACATGGGGTTGTTGTCCAATCTGGGGGGTCGGGTGGGTGTGGGGGGGGGTGTTGATGGAGTATATATATAAGTATATCCAGATAGGGCTTCTTCTGTACATGGTCTGTCTCCGTCATGCAATACTTTGTCCTGCTCAGGTTTTTGCGTCAGTGAAGTCTCCAAAAATCAAGAAAAAAAAAATCAAATCAATCGAAGCTGGTTTTGTTCCGTGTCCTCCTGAAGTAAACGCTGTCTCTTCCTTCTGGTTGTCATGTGATGAGCGGTTCTCAGTCATGCAGGTGTGGGGGGGTGAGGAGGGGCGGGAACATGCTGCAACTGTCCTGGCTAGGATGGACGGACGGATGGATGGATGGTTGGATGGACGGGCGGGTGGGTGGGTGGATGAGAGAACCCGGCAGATGTGAGCGGCACGTTTCACGTCTCCACCGGGCTGGGTACCATACTGTTGGGGGTGTCCGGTAACTGAGAGGACAGAGACGTCACGTCGCTGCCCGAAGAGTTTCCGAGAGATCCCGATTCAGAGAAAGACACCTGGGGACAGTGGGACAGATGAGTCCGTTATTACAGACAGTCAGATCCTGCGCAGGTGGACATTTGTCCAGTTCACACAATAATTCGTCTGTGCCGGGTTTAGGTTTAGGTTCAGGGTTTAGAGAATTCTCACGACCGTCACAGTAAATAATTCAGGATCTGCAGCCAAAATGACACAGCGGCTGTTTGTCCTCGATGTGCAGGGAAGTCCCCCAACATTTTAGCATCGGGGGAACAAAAATATAATTCAGACTAATCTAAAATGATCTGTGATGAAATACACACCGATATTTGAACAATAGAAGACAGAATAGACAACGATTTTTTAAAAACATTTTACAGGTCAAATTAAAGCTCCCTCTGTGTTGAAGGTGATATGATGGTCTGTGTGCAGATCATTGGATATTTTTTTGCTGCGGTGTTTGAAGTGTTCTGCGTGCAATAAAATACATTTTAAAAATTAAATTATTGTTGTAATTAATGTAATTAATATGTATTATTATTTAACGTAATTATTGTTGTAATTAATATGTATTATTATTTAACGGTGTGCTTTAATTCTAAGTCGTGTTTCAACAGTAGTAGATATAAATATGACAGATCAGTCACACACACCAGTTGTTGGAAGGCGGGCTGGTCCAGGTCACTCTGCAGGGCGAACTCACTCAGAGCCTTCCACGGAGGCTGGTAGGTCTGAACCTCCACCGGGTTTCCCTGCACAGTGCTCTCATGTCGGATAGGACTTCCGGCCACTAGAGGCGTCCCTGTCAGGCCCTGCAGGTTCTGAGGGAACAGACAACAACAACAACAACAACAACACATCAGCAGTTGTCGTTTACAGTTTTTGTGCAGCAGTGGAAATTATTTAAAAGGTTTCACTGACGCCGAACAATGGTGGTTGTAAAAGGATGTTGACACTGTATCTCTCAGGTCAGGCACCTGAAGCCACAGCAGTTGATTCATTATTAATTGACTTAATGTTTAATTACAGCTGAGCTCTGGGGTGTTCTGTTATGACGCAATCACAGAGAAAATGATTGAATAAATATGAAATAAATAGTTTAGATGTGTTTCCATGTGTCACTGTCAAAATAACCCATGACTTTTTATGTTAAAATCATAAATGTTTTAAGTTGATGAGGTTGTTTCTCTTTGTCACCATGACGTCACAGGCTTTGCTCCGAACCCCAGCCAGAGTAAATAAATCACCTTTTAAATCATCCAGTGTGAATAAAAAACATCAAGCAAACACGGGAATCGTTGGTAGTAATCAAGCGGTTGGACTTACGAAGATGCTTACAGTCTTATCACTGTGCTGCTGCTGCTGGAGCTGCTTCATCAGGATCGACTTCTTCTTGTCTTTACAGCGCTTGTTCTGGAACCAGACCCGGATCACCCGGGGGCTCAGGCCGGTCATCTCCACCAGCTGCTCCTTCATCAGCGCGTCCGGCCTCGGGTTGGCGTTGTAGCAGGTCCGCAACGTGTGCAGCTGCTTCTCGTTCAGCCCCGTCCGCACCCGCGTCGTCTTCTCCGACTGCTTGTGGACGTGGTTCCGATGCGGGGCCTGTCGCACCGTGACCGGGTCTTCAGAGGAGAGAGAGGAGGGGACGGAGGAAAAAAACACACACACACCGTTTGGTAAAGTATAATAATCACTGCAGACTGATGGTGTTTTATTATTATAATTATGAATCTTATATTAATACACAATATTTCACTAAAGATTAAATTAAAGTTCTAGCCTTTAGCCTTTAGCCTCAGCAGTGATAATATCAGTACTTTGTATTTTATTTATTTTATTTTTTATAACCTGTGTCATGGTTGAACAGCGCTGCTGAAACACGAGGCCTGTGTCTGAATAACGTCTTTAAGTAGGAAGTTGTTGGACATTGTTCACACATTTGCTTTGCTCTTGTTCTGTTGACACACGCTCTCCTCCCTCCCTCTCTCTCTCTCTCTCTCTCTCTCTCTCTCTCTC